TTTATGTTTCAGTAACACTAGAGTTGCAGTTCACAATGTTTTACTGATCTCTATGTTGATGTTTTGACTGTTCTGTTTGCATGTTTGTTTGCTCTTGTTTGTGGGCAAATTCAGGAACTCTGCAAAACTACCTAAAACTGAAAATGAGAATGATGAATATCTATCTTACAAGGGTAAAATTACTAAAGTAGAATCACTCTAAAAATATGATTCTCATCTGAGCTGTGCTTGCTACATTTTCCTAATGTTTTCTGTAAAATTTCTGCAAAATAAAATAATTTTGGAGATCCAAAGTATTAGACACCTTTGGCAGCTTTTTTGGCAATGCCAAAACACAAATCCATGTGAATCAGACTGTTAACTGGACATACCTATAGTCCTGATTTTAAAGAAATTCCTTCTAGTGTTTTGTCAGGAGGGAAGTGAAAACTGTGAGTTGTTTTGCAAATTGCCCACTCATTTGCCAATGACAGCAGGAACAGACCCCTTCATCTCCTGCCCCCTTACACAGCACGGGCAAAGGTCAGTGACAATCAGAACTGCTGGGCAATAAACAATCACAAATGGAAGGGCCTCGTTTACTGGAGCTGTTACAGTTTGGGTGAATGACAGTGCAAGTGCAGCCCAGATCTGCTCTCCTCTGAACATCAGCACTTCTGCCTGAACAGTCACATTGGGAAACATCACCTACACAGCCCCTCCAAAGCAAAGGTAGCATCTTATTGCTGGTTACTCGTTACTCAGAGGAGGCTCTCAAAAGCCACACTCATCACCAGCTTGTTTCTGAGCTTGGAACTGTAGCCCCTTCAGCTGGGTGGGGAATGAGATCAGATCCCGGGAGAAAGCTCATCCACACTTCGTGCTGCAGGGATGTACTTTCCATGCTAACTTTCCTTACACCATTACTGGTGAGGAACCCTTAGGTAGCCAAGGAGGAAGAACTTGTTGGGTATCAATCATTCTTTTAAATTTCCATCCGTGGTTGTTGTTCCTTCAGTTTAAAGTTACTGCAAACAAACTGTGCAGACAACTTATTAAAATACCTCATAAGCCTAATGAAACCATAATGCAGAAATTTATGAAAAATTAGGGCCTATTTACATGGAAAACAATGTTTCTGTGACTGATCTGAGGCTGAACAGTAAATGAAACATCTGGGGAGATCAGATCATGATTAGAAGAAAGGCCAAAGGACTGGGAGAAGGACTTGCAGAAACCCCAGAATTTGCCCTTGACAAAACCATCTGAATTTCCCAGGACAGGAAATTGCCCAGGCTGGAGTGAAACTCATGGGTCAAAAGCAAATCACACTGAGTGAGTCACTGAGGAAAATGGACAGCTAAATCTACCAGTAAGCTACTTTCCAGAAGGCAAATAGGATTGTTTGCACAGGATGGCCTGGCCAGTGTAGTCTCAGCCTTCAGCTTTTCTAAGAGGTGATCCTGAAGATGCTTCACTGAACTATTGCAAGGCCATTGGTAGGTAAGCAATGCATTCCTGAAACATTATTTAAAATATGAGTTTGATGCTGTCACTACTGCTTTCTAGAAAAACAGGACAGAGAATTTTGTCCCTCCAAAAGGCAGGCACAGTTTTGTGGGAACGAGTTTGGAGGCTCTTTTGGAGAGTGCTGAGCAGGTAGAACTCTCATCCTTTCAAGTTCCCTTGGCCTGAGTGACAGTGACTTAATGAGCAACAGACGTGCTCGTGTGTTTCATCCTGTTTCAAACAAAACCAAAATCTGATCCGCCACTTATCAGAACAGGATTATGGCCCTTTTCCAGTCATCCTTGCTGATGCATTTGCTAGGCAGCAGAAAAACAGGTTGTTGAAGGCCTTGTAAAAAGATTCAGGTATAAGCCCTTCAAAATTATTTTTTTTCCCCTATCACATGTAGAATCGAATAATCTAATAGATCATCATAAAATAAACATAATTTCCCACCATCTGGATTGTGTTTGCCAGCCTTAGTCATCACGTCTGCTGCTTTACAGGTTGCTTGTGGTCATTTTGCAGCTTTTGTTATTCAAAGAGGGCTTCTCAGAGTCGGTGAGAAATTCAAAGGATTACAAAGAGATACGGCAGACTTCAAGGATAAGAAAGCATGTTTCTTTCATCCTTATATTTTTTAACTCATATCCCACTGCAAAAACCCTCTGGCACTCAGAACTCCTACCCCTTGAACATCCCACTGAGTGTCTGAGGAGGGTTTTAAATGCACATGCAGCATATGGTGAAATTATTACAGAGCACACAGAAGAGGTGCCTAGACATGTACCACAGAAACTCAAATCATATTCTGCCCTTATTTGATTCCAACTAATCTTCCTAAAGAGAATCAAACAGCCTTGATGCAAAAAGGGTATGAACTTGCAAAGCAGGGATCTGTACATAACAGTTAGAGCATTATTCATAGCTTAGAAATTAAATATCTCTCGAAGTCCTGAAGCATTCAGCCAGAAGAGGAGAAGATATCTAGGTCTTTTGTTATACCAACTTCAGGATCAAATAATCTCTTACTTGAAAAGCACCTCAGTTACTCCCTGCAAACATCCACTATGTTCATTAATTGGTAGATATAGAAATATCTATTACCAACAGAGTTAGTATCATCATTTGTGAATAAAGATACACAAAGTTTAAATAAATTGATCTCAGTAAATTTCCTATATTTTACCATACAGTTTCACTGCTGCCTCAAGACTAATCTAAGAGGCATTAGTTCATAGTTCTGACAACTGTAATAAGAAGCAATCCTAAAAAAATACTTTGGTGTTTCCATGGTCTGAGGTGTCAGTATCTTCAAACACCCATTTCAAAATCAATTTTCTAGTTGCTTTCTTTATTAAAAGTGAATATACTGCTGTCAGCAGAATCACTTCTTTCCCTAATGAGATATATAATTTTATGTTCACAATTTTAGCTATGAACAAATTTTGGAAAAGGTGATATCTACTATCCTGTTGAGAAGTAAGTGATCTATAAAACTGACTGTGCACTACTCTGTGGGATGCTTTTCTTCCTTCCACAGCAACCATCCCATTATTTCTGTTTTGTCATATTTTGTAGGGGTGGTGAGGGAGGGTGTAAGCTGCAAGGATTTTGCTTTCATAATGCGTGGTAAAACTGATCTGCTCTATTTGCATGTTGCCTTCACATAAACTGCATTGTCTCGTGGTAATTATTGGTAACTTAATGTTCCATGGAAAGCAATGACATTGCGTTTGACAAGATGCAAAAAGGTTTCCCTTGGGCACAGGAGCCAACTCGTCAATGGAACATTTTTGCAACCATCATTGTTACAATCCACATGAATATGAACTTTGGCCAAATATAAATACAGAAATCATTCAGATTATATTTTCTTGGCCTGGTCTGTGCACGCTGTGTGTTGGACGAAAACAGCCCACTTAATACGTACCACAGTACTTCAAGAGTAAAGAGACTTTAGGTTCCATAAGACAAGAAGCACTAAACTTGAATTCTTTCGAGTAGGCTGGAGGTGAAAAAGCGGCCAAAACGGCTGCGTATTTCAGCGATGCCGAGGTTGGATTTATTCCCGCGCACGACCGGGGAGGAGCTTTCGGACTCGGGAGCCGTGGCGGACCCGGCTCCGCGCAGCGCCCGGGGCGCGGATCCCGCCCTGTCCCTGGTGCTGACCGGGGGCAGCGCCCGGCGAGCAAACCCCGAGCCCGGCACAGCCGGGATTCTCGGCGGAGCCCAGCGCGGTGCCTCTTCCCAGCCCGGGGAATTTTCACTCCTGTGCAAATCCCAGGGGGGCTCAAGTGGGGCACCGCCCGCGTTCCCAGCGCTTTGACGCTTGGGAACATCTTTCCTTTTCTCGCGTGGGAACAGTCTTTTTCTTTTTTATTGTTAACAAACTCATAAAGCAGCGGCTCCGTCATTGCACTGAGAAAACAGCTGCATTCCTGGAGAATATTTCGTGAAGCTTAACATTAAAAAAAAAGAAACCCAAACCACCACTTAGCGCTACTGAACAGAGGGATGTGTGGAGCGGGATGCTTGGTCCTTGACAGCACTCGGCAGCCATGTGAACGCACCGCAAGGCTCAGGATCTTAAATCATCCCAGTATCGGGATCCTGGGGGGCAGTTACGTTGTTCGCTTTGCTGCTTCTTTTTTTTTTTTTTTTTTTTTTTTTTTTTTAATTCCAAACCCTTTGTCTCCTCTCGGGACGCGGTTTTAACTTTTTCACTCAGTTAAAGCGACCTTTACCTATCAACACCAGTGAATCAGCGGGGCTAAACAACCCCACTGCCACTTTTCTTACGAGGCAACGAGTGAAATCAGCGGTTTCGCTCGGCGAAAGGGCTGGAGGCTGCGGGCTCCGAGCCCGCAGAGCATCAAAGCACACGCTGGAGAGCTTGTGCTGAGCTTGGGCAGGACAGCAGCCCCTCCTGCCTCCCCGCGCCGCCCTCCCGAGCGCCCCGGGTGCCTCCCGCGGGCGCAGCCCCCCCGCTCCCGCCGCCATTTCATCCCTCGCATCCTTCCCTGAGGGCGCTCACGCGCGGACCGCCCGCCCCCCGGGATACCTGCTGCCGCTCCCCACAGCTCTGGGTCACCTTCCCGCTCCGCCACCGCGGCCCCGCGGTGTTCCCGGCTCCCACGCGGGCATTTACACCCCGCGGGCAGCGCTTTCTCGCTCGCCGGGCCCGGCGCTGCCGCCCGCGGCGGCAAATCCCCTCAGCGCGCCCCGCCCGCGCGGCGCCCCCGCGCGGCGGCCCCGGGGAGCGGCCCCTGCCCTCGGGCGGCCCCCGGCGCTGTGACAGCCCCACCGGGGCGGCAGCGGCGCTGCCCTCGCTGCGGGGCCGAGCGGGCTCAGCGCTGCCCTGGGCTCCGCTCCCCTCGGCCCCCGCTGCCCGGCCGATGTCCGTGGGTGCGGCAGCCGCGGCTCCCGCGGGGGCGGGCCCCGTGCCCGCCGGCCCACGCAGAGCGGCGGCGGTGGAGCGGGCGGCAGTGGCGGTGGCGGTGACGGAGGTGAGGGGGCGGCCCGGAGGGACCGCTTGGTTACTCGGGACGCCGCAGGTGGGCAAGGTGGGTGCGCCGCGGCCACGGAGTTTCTGTAGTGGAAACTGTTACCCCGTAAAGCCTTCGCTGGGAAGGCAGAAGTGAGCGGGAGAGGCGTTTGGGAGGCTGCCTTGTCATCTTGTGCACAGCGCTACATCAGAGTGGTGTAGCGATCCCCTGAGGAATCTGCGATGGCCAAATGACGCTGATGGCACAGGATCCCTCTCCTAAGCCCTGCTGAGCGCTCTCTGCGCCGTGCCCAACCTCGGCTGTCTGGACTGGAGCCAGCGCTGTCAGAGGTGCTGTGACCTCGATGGCAAAGCTCAGCCCCTGGTCCCTGCGGAGCTGACAGTGACCCGCACGCAGCCTCCTCTGTAGCTGCTCTTGGGTCTGCTGTCGGGGTTTGGTTGGGCTTTTTTCGTTCGCTGTTTCCCCCTTTCTAAGGGAAAACAGTCATTTAGGATTCCCTGCAACAAGGCACAAATTACAGTAGTCACAGGCTTGCTGTAAACTTTCCTGGTTTCAGCCCAGAGTTGGAAAAGCATGATGAAAACTGAATGGCAACGCATTTGACAGCCTTGTTTTTCTTCTTCAAGTTCCTGTACTGGAAGCTGAGCTCTGCATTTTAATCCAGTAGCTGCTGTTGATACATTTTGTCACTTAAAACTGGTAACCTAAGCGCTGTGGTTACATACGTAAACAGGAGATGGTTAAAACAACAGGTACTTTACCTTTAGGTGTTCTTTACCTTTAAAAAGAAATCTTATTACCTTGGGAAGGTGGGTGCCATAGAAGTGTTAAGTGTCACATGGTGTAGTGACTGCCTTTAAAAACAGTAACTGAAAAGCTGATAAAACGAGAACTTAGTAGCATACACTTAAGTCCTTGCAAACCGTCTGAACTGGCGTCCTTCTCTTCTCTTGGGTCTGCAGGTTTCCAGTTTAACATAGTTACCAAAAATTTTTCAAATCTTTTAAAGATCAGTTCTGACTACACTGTGTTGTATACCAAATCTTTTGTAGTAGTGGACAGGCATGCAGGGGAAAAAGGCCATGTAGTAGGAGAATAAAGTGCGAAATACAATTTTTTTGTAAAGGTGCAAGTAGTCAGGGTGAAGGATCTAGAGGGGAGGGTAAACAGCAAATTTAATCAACTGGTAAAGTGATAGCAGCAAACAGGCAAGCAGGAAACATTGGAGCTGCATTTCTGAACGCATTGTATTACAGGGAAGGGAAATAAAATTCTGTCATTATATTGTGCTAGCATATCTCCCCAGAAATACTGGCCTTTGTTGGAACCCAACAAAGCACATTATTAGAAATGTGTTGGCAAAGTAGAATGAGGTGAAGCAAAGTGTGGTAGAAAATTTAGCTTCTTGAGAGAGATCAAAATGCAGGACTTAGGACAACTTGATAAAGGGACTAAAAGGAATTCAGAAATACTAAGTTCTGTGAGAATTGAAGGATTTTGATTCAATAGGTCAAACAAAGCTGTACATACAAGTAAAAGGAGGATTAGCTCAACTTAGAGCTCAGCAGTGAAGGAAAGGGGATTGCAATGAGCTCTTTTGCATTGTAGAATAGTCTTACTTTGGAAGCAATACTGAACTTGTGCTGAACTTGTGGGAAAAAAAATCTTTACTCTTGGTAATTACTTTTATATTCAGTTTGACATTGGCAAGGTGGGAATGCAAAGTTAAAAATTTGTTACATCTCCAAAGTGTCAGTTCCAAATTCTTTAGCACTGCTTGGCCGATATGTGGTAAATATGTGCTGGTTTGTACTGTGGATCACGATGAAGATCTCTCCCCAAATACAGCTGTTGATTCTACATGAAATGTAATTAACACTGGGTTAATTCAAAATTGTGGAAAACTCTAGGATTGCACGTATCAGTCAACCAGTTGAAAGGCTGGGTTTTCTTCATGCATCAGTGTAGTGAATAGTTTCTTCAAGGCTCCATTCTCCTGGCTTTTCCACTGTTCTGAAAGACTGTAGATAATCATACTGGGGACAGTGCAGGAATCCATGGGATAAAAAGTGTATGTTTGTCATAAAGCCAAATGCTGCCTCCTCATACTGCCACCCCTTCAGGTGAGGGAGACTGAAACAAAGGCAGACTATCCTTTTGTCCTCCCCTCCACCCCCCCGGAATGTTGAATATGTTTTTATCAAATAGGAAATGATAGTTTATTCCTGTGGAGTGCAAGTCTTTCACTTGCCCAAAAGAAAAACATAAACCATGACCTCGTACGCCTCTTTTTATGAGCCAGAGATGCATAGTATATTGCAGATCAGAAGTCAAACTCCAAGCAATCTGCTTCTGAAATCCTTAATGATACGAGTGATACAACCGTGTTGCTGCAGTAATAGCAATTCAAGGCTCCTCTATGCACACGTTTACCCCTGCAGCTAAAATATAACCCATGAGTAATGCAGCCAGCTCCGTGAAGTAGTAGCAGCTTTAACAACTGGAATTTCCATTACTGGTTTCCTCCCACCTTTATTTAGCATTGACACGGGTGGGTTTGGTTTCATTCACTCCATGGCTGTGCACTCCCAAGCATGCAGTCGTCGCTCTCCTAAAGCCGGCTCGCTGTGATGTGTACAGCAAGGTCTCCCAGCACGTGGGGATTGTTTCCGCCAGTGTAACATCCCTGATGCAGCTGTGGAAGGACGGCGCTGCTCAGGCTCAGAGGCATTTGCTGGAGGTTATGGCACTCTCCCCTCCCCTAGAGCCTGGTGCCCATCCAGCTCCCGCCCAGCTGTTCCCATCAGTCAGCTGGGAATAGCTCGGGAAGGGGCGGGACCTGGTGAGCTCTGGACAATTCTCCGGTTTGATATGTGTGGAGAAAATGTCACCTTGCTCCTGGAGTACGTTTTTTGTTTAAATGTCACTCCTTACATCAGTGACCTCACTGACTCAGCATAGCTTCTCTCTGAAGGGAGGGAGCTATGAGCAAGTCATGGATTTTGACATGGCAGGAGAATGTAGGGAAGAAGGCACACCAAGAGAAACAAAATACTGTTATCAGAGCAAACAAAAATGAATTTTGGAACAGTCTAACAGGCAGTTATGTAAAGCAACTAAAAGCTAATCTAAACATCACAAGCTTCTGAAAAACAAGGGGACTGTCTATTATGTACACACAGTTTATTGCAACCTCAGGTTTCCCAGAAGGTGTTGCTGAGGTTTGTGCCGATAGCTGTGATGACCCTGTACCTGCTGCACTTTTGAAAACAGGGTGGGGTTGAACGAGCCATCTGGGTGGATCACCAGCTTATTTAGAGGCTCATTGTACTGAAAGTCTGTAGAAGGTGAGACCTATGCTAAATGTCCCTAACAAATGGAGCTGTGACTACAGCATGAGCTTCTGTAGCATTGTAACTTCATTATTAGGCACAGAGCTTTCTCCAGACAGGCAGAGGGGATACAGACACAGGAATGAAACGACTAATGGAGACCTAGAGAAAGAAAATTGGAATATTTTTTTCTCCAAATTGCACCTGGTAGTGATAGAGCTGTGGTCCTGTGACGTTGAAGGGGAATGTTGGCCAGGACTCTGGCATATCCTCTCCACTTTCCTCTTAAAAGTGCCAAGCTATGCTGAACATTCATGCAGACACAGACAGAAACCAAAGGAGTAGGAACAAGTGACCTTAGTTTAACATTTCATTCAAATGACAGAGTCCCTAATGAGATTCCCACTCTAGTTTCTTAGCACACCACCCAGCCTGAAGGATCTCTCAGATCCTTTCAGATGTCCTAAACTGATAAGGGAATGGCATGTTATAGATGTGAAAGTAGGACAGAAAGCACATAGTGTTTGATTAAACAGCATCTCTATTTCTTAATGCTTAGCTCTGTGCAGCCTGCTGTGCGGTTTTATTCTGTTCTGGGTTTTGTTCCCCTCCTCCCCTTTATTTAATTTTTTTTTTCTATGAGTGACTGAAGGTTTAGGTATCAGAAGGTAACATGCACAGAATTCACAGTCCATACAACTGTAACTTTTCTTCTAATACCTATTTAGGTGATACTGTCTTTACTAGTGAAGCCATGACTTGCTGTGTTTATGTTACTCCTGGTAAGGAGTTCTGTTCTCCTGAACCCTTGAAATGGAGACAAGAAAGGACACTAAACCAGCAGCCAATTCCTAGGAAAAGGAAATGAATACTGCAATGATAATTTACCTTCAAACTTGGGTGTGCATGTGACTTTCTAAAAAAAAAAAAAAAAATTCAGTACTAGATAAACTGGCAGGCCAGGAAACTCTGCCATTTGAAGTCCAACAAGTCAGTTTTGTCTCTCCTCAAAGTCATCATCCAAACATCACTGGTTCTGGACTCTTAGAGGACAGGTTATAAATCCTCTTAATGTAAATGTACCTGAGAGTTATTTGTGAGACATCAAAACCCCGTTTTCTTCTCAAGCTGTGTCTTGCTATTTGCCTTACTTTCGGTTTGGGCCAGTTCTACTGGCTTGATGTAACTTCCATTTAAATCCATGTGAAATGCTGTGGTTTAATGTGGACCTCTGGCTAGAAGATATGGTGATATGGTTATATGGTTTAGTCCATGCCGAGATTAATTATTCCCTTGTACAAATGGCTTTTCTGACTCTGTGAATGCTATGCAGACACTTTATTGCTTCATGATTTTGAAAAATTATTGACCATCTCCTCAGATAAAGACTGAGTTCCTGGTAGTGTTTGCTCTCTCTGCCCTTTCGCCACCAGCTATTTACCGTGTTTTAAGGCAGGTGTATTGGCAGAGTGACCTGCTATCAACATTCCAGCTGAGCTGCTTCACTCTAGTGCACTGTGTGGGTTTGGTTGTCTTTTGGGTTATTAGAGCAGAACTCATGCTTTCTCCCCCCCACCGCCCCACCCCAACACAATGGCAATTTTTTTCTAACCAGAGGATAAAGAAGGATATATATGTATATAAAGAAGGATGAAGAGGATAAATGTGGAGATACAGGAGAGGGCTCCTGGAGTTCCTGCACATATTAATGACTTGAAAGGGGAGAGCAGAATTTTTTGGTTTATATCTGTAGATCTGCCAAAAGCTTCTCTTCTTCCCTCACGTCCTCTGCATTTTAGCGATTTCCAATCTAAGGCAGAACTGCTATCCAGCATTACTGAACAAGGGTTACAGTTTTATGGAAATGCCTAGGAACTGGAATATAAACTATGAAAAAACCAAGGAATAAATTAAGAAAGCAGTTGGCTAACTATTTGTATTCTTAGCCTTTCATTTAAGTGTCATGCCTTTAGAAGACTTGTATTGAAATGATGAGACAGGTATGTAGTGAAACTATGCTTTTGCCACAGAAATTAAATGCTGATTAGAAGTATCTCATGATACATCTTTCTGCATTCAGAGAGAATAAATTTTAATTTTCCCTTGAGAAAGCAAGGGCTGTGGAACCAAGAGCCAGACATGAAGTTGTGGGGCTTTTTTGTGATACTAAAACTTTTTTCAGTTTAACAAACTATTGCAAAGGAAGTTAAACACTTTCTTGGTACCTCTCCTGCTGCATATAGTAAGATCTATGGAAAAAGAACTTGCTTGTAGAATATGACATGTCACAATGCAATAAACATGTGCTGAAGCAGAATTTAAAAATGGCTCTGTAGTTGTTAACAGGTTAGTGAAGAGATTTGGGTGTTTGGGATTTTAGCCTTGGATATTGCTTGCTTGTTTTATTAAAACATGTGTTTTGTCCATAAAGTAACTGGGCAGAACGAGGGGCTTCAGGAGCCTAGAAAGATCTGTCCCCTTCCCTGAGGACTATATTAGACCTCTGAGTCATGAAGTCTTTGCATAGCAGGTGTCTGGTTACAAACCTTTTATGGGCCCTGCTCAGCTGGGATATCAGCATCTGCATTATAGCTCCCATCTATTCTTAGGTGGTATCAGAGCACGACTGAACAGGCAAGGCAGAAAGAGAATTGCTTTCGTTACGTAAAACTCTTCCCTCTTCTCATTCTGTTTTTTTTCACACTTCTCTCTGTCCACCCCGTCCTTGTGTTCTGCAGTGCCTTGTTGCTGTGTGGTGAAAGCAGCACACAATGGCTTACAGCGTGACTCTGAACGGACCTGGACCATGGGGCTTCCGACTGCAAGGGGGCAAGGACTTCAACATGCCCTTGACCATCTCCAGAGTAAGTGTGCAAAAAACCTTGTTGAAGCTTGTTTAGGCAGGAAAATAGCAGTCATGTGCACACTCTGACTAGCAAAGTAGAGGATCTTTGCACCTAGGTGTGAATAAAGAGAATGTAGTGTGGACTTTAAATTATACCAGTTCAAAGTACAAGCTGGCATGGATAATGCCTCAGGAAAACTGTTCTGGTTGGTATATTTTTATGAATGGCAATAGTGTCTCTCTTAAATGAGCTTCCAGTTCTATTTTGTACAGTGTTGTCTCTTTTTCTGCTGATAGGGGCCTCAGTGATGCTATCTATTTGAGGGGAAGGGAGTAGAAGAACTACGAATGAGAATATAGATTATATTTCTAGAAAATAAACATTTAACTGCTTGTAAACATGTAAAGTCAGGTGTTAAAAGTGGACAAAGACAGGGATATGTGTCCCCTCCTGTGAGGGGGTGCAATAATTGGATAAAAATTCGATATGTCAAGCAGAAGACTCGATAGTGCTTAAAATACAGTCTTAAATTATGCAGAAGCCTTCCATTTGCAGCTGACAAACAGCAACTGATTTAATAATTAATTACCTGGTGCATCTGTCACAGATGAGTCCATTTATCTCCTATCTACCTTGTTTTCTTCCTTCTCCTTAAAACATTATTTCAAGGTGTTGCACTTGAGTACCCTTATTATCTGAATTAGCTCGGTTTCTTAAAAGTTTTTAACATTGGATGGTTTTCAGGAAACTTGATTTTCCCATACCTATCCTTCTCTTATCAGATAATTCTGTGTAACTTCTGGTAGCTCTCTTTTTTTTGTTTTGGTTTGTTTGTTTGTTTTGGTTTGGGGGTTTTATATTTTTGTTTGTTTGTTTTCTTTGTTTTGTTTTGTTTTGTGTTCTTTCTGACAGTCTCAAATCTGCTCCAGAATGTTCAGATCTCTTTAGAGAAGTCTTGGTTCCTCCACAAATCACCTGCAGAAGGCTTGTTTTGCAGTACAGTGACAAGAGAGGTTACTTACATAACAGTGTTTAAAAGTAATACCAGAATGATTTAATCAGACAAACAAGTGGAATGCAAACAAAAGGTCTGCTTCACTGGAAAAAAAAAAAAAAAAAAGAAAAAAGAAAGAAAAAAACCCACCTACACTACTTTTAAAAGCGTGTTGGATTTTTTTTTTTTAATTGAAAAATACAGTCTGTTAAGTTGTGGGTACAAAATTGGTATCTCTGCAAGAGTCATGATTCAGAGTCAATCAGTGAGCTTCTGAAATCTTAACTATACTTTTTCATATTCATCCTGTGAAGTTTTGTATCATTTGATCTCCCTTGTTCTTCTGCACATTAGCCCTCTCTCGGAAGACAGAGCTGCATTTACCTTTAGTATTAAGGCCTATGAGGATGAGAGGAACTTTTCAAAACTCCTTTTGCAGAAACAGGGCAGTAGCTGCCAAGAAGGATGTTTGGTCAGTATTATTAAAAGCCAGCAAGTAAAAGACAACCTAAAATACCTCCTGCCCACAAAAATAAACTCACTTCATGACCTCAGTTTAGTTTCACTCATGTAAATAGTGTTGGTCTTTCTTTCCCTATCACAGCCAAGGTAAGTACAGAGAGGTGCCAGCATATTTCTGTAGGCATTTTCATGCCGTTTTGCAGCCTGACAGTCATACCTAGAGGCTGTCAGTGGAGGACCAGGGCTGTGGCAATTGCACTGTGTATGACACAATCAGTAATGAAAAGCTGATTGTTTCCCAAACAACTCATTGTCTCATATAGTAATTTATTAAAGTGTAAACTCTATGCCCAAAGGCTGCGTGATTCTCGTGGGGCTTTTGAGAGCATATGAGGAGCAGGAGTGAAACTGCAGTGGCTGAATTCCCAGAGGTGTGGAGGAATTACCTCTTCCCACAGCTGACTGCCTTTCCAGCAAGTAGCAGTGTCAGAAAGCACTGCTAAATGTTTTGAACTCTTTCCCAGTGAGACCCAGCTTTTAGCTGGGCCTATTGATTTGGGATGGGACAGGATTTTGTATCCTGCCTTACAAGGGGAAAAGCACACATACAAGAATAAATACAGCCACTTTGAGGGTGAGCTGGGATAGTAATGCCTGCTGGTTGAGATGTTTTTAATTGGAACACTGTGTAATACATGACTTTTGATGGTAATAGTGTATGTTTGCCTTTAGCATCTTTCTCATAAATATATCTCCAAATGGATCAGATATTCCCCTTAATCAGAAATTTGCAGTCATAAGAGGGTTAAGCTGTGAACTTAGCCATAACTGCAACCTTATCATGGGGGAAAAGGAAATCTGTACTTACATTCTCAAGATATCCTTGTGGGGCAATGGAGGGGAAGATAACCAGGAGGAAAATCCCTTTCTTGGAAGAGGCACACAGCTTTAAATGTTGCTGATGGGTGCTGTACGCTTACCTATGGACTGGTTTTGATCCACAGCTACACTGAGATGAGATATGACTTTCTGTGTGCAAGATGAGTCCTAAACCACTAACACTTCAACTTAAAAGGTCTTGTAATTGCTTTTACTACCAGATGTGCCACGGCCCTTTTGCCTGTGTAGGTGTAGGGTCCCTCTCAGTGTGCAGGCAGGGTTTGCATGCAGACACCTCATTACCCTCCATCTGCCCCCTAGCAATTAGCCTGGCTGTGGGTGGGCCACGGAAAACACAAAGGTTCATCCTTTTTCATCAAGGCTCTATGCTCTTCTGTCAGGCTGCAAGAGAGTTGCTTCTGAGCTCCTGAGAAAGATGATGAAACAGTAGAACACATTATTCATCCCATCTATAGTATTTTATGCCAACACGTTTCCAAGGACCTTCCCAAAGGAGGGTGCTAATAGTATGCCCTAATGAAACTGGCCCATGCACAGACATAAAGTGGGCAGCCTGGACTTGGGAACTAGAGCTGTGGCTTACCTGTCAGGTAGGTCCGGGTGATCAGCTCATTGCTGAATAGTCAGCAGCATAAGACGCAAGACTCACAGTGAGTCAGCTGGGTGACAGGTGAAGATGTGTTCCTCTGAAATGGATTGTTCTGCTTATCTGTTCTTTATCTAAAAATAAATGCCTGACTAACATAGTGGGTGGGGACAAGAAAAGGGGAGACAAAAACAAGAAGGGAAGAGTTAAGGTCCCTCTGAAGCTTTTACACTCCTTTAACAATGGCATTGGAAAACAGTCTGTGAAGACTTTAAAACTATTATTTCAGTCCCCACCCTGCATACCATCCCACCCTACAGAAAAATCCTGTCATAAGATGTCAAATTCTGTCATGAGATGTCACGGGCAGGTAGCAGAGGTAGGAAAACAGTATTGACAGACTTTTAGTAAAGCTGAGCATCTGTCAGCCCAGCTGAAATGAATGAGACTTGCAGGTTGTTGGCAAAGCTAAGAGCTGTCACCAGTGGCATGATCACACACATAAATCTGGTCTTTCCAAACCGACGTGGGCAGCAAAGCCGTTTATTTTCTCCTGCTGCTTGCATGGACTGTCTGGAAGCAAGCAGAATTCATTAATTTTACAGACCTAATCCTCTGTAAGAAGGCTTTTGGACACAGTTAATTATCTAAGTGCTCTGTTGCCGTGTTACCTAAGATGGTACAGTTGTACGTGGTTGGATGCAATAGCAGAACCTCTCCATGTGTTTCTGAATGTTTATTGCTGAACAGTGAATTTTCTGGTGGGACAGACTGGCTTGCAGGGGGTGCAATGAGCTGAAAGGTGTGCAGGAACTATCATCATCTGAGCTAGGAGAAATATTATCTAGAACACTGTGGTAACTTATGACTGGTATATTCTTTTTGTGATGATCCATAGTTTTGTATTTCCTAGTAGAGGGGTTTTTTAGTTGCTTGGGTTCCAAATCAAAAGCCAGAGCCTGCCTGAAGCAGAGGGAGATAAGGGTTAAACAAAACAAAAACGTTTAAGAACTATTTTTCTTTACTTAAGTGAGGAAAAAGTTGAAATATGATGATGATGTAAGCACAGTGAGGGGACACAGCAAACACTAGTATGAAAAAAATTAAGATAGCTGATCTGTATGCTTATTCTGATACAAGCAGAATAAGCTGAACACAGAACAATCTGAAACTGCTCTTTGAGGCTGGGGGGAAACCGCTGGTCTAGCATTTTGCAGTCTGTCTCTGCAGGAGCAGGAAGGTTTTTCTCACAGTTGTTAGGCTCTTTCCTTTTATCAGCATCTCTTCCTGATTGCTTCCTGTCCCTCCTCCACTCCCTAGCATACATATGCCAGCCCCTGGCTGTGACTGCCTTTGCTTTAGAGGAGCTGTGTGAGAGTACTCATTTCCTGTGGGCTATTGCATATCAGTGCCTTACAACAGACAAGTGATGGGGGAAGCCAATCCCTCTTTTTTTTTTTTTCCCCTCAGTTCTTGAAAGCAGGGAAACCTCAAATGATCTGGGTCAGGCTCTATGCATTCTACAGCTGTCGTTTGAATGGCCATGTGGGCTGTACATAAATTATAATAAGAATGCAGTTTACCTCTATTGACTGAACTGAAGCAATTTAACAAGTTCACTTGAAATGCTGATCCCACATCACCCCTGGTGAATCGAACTGCTGAGCAGTTGTCCTACAGCTACAGCTGCAACTTTGAGAGGTGTTTTTTTCATCTCCAAACAGGAAGTTCTTCACGATACCAAAACCCACAGATTATTGTTCATAATTGCTGATATTCTACTAAATTAACAGGTAAACCTCATGTCCTCTAAAAGTCTTCCTCCTTAACTACTATGCAGTGGAGATGTTTCCTTTTTCCCCCCCCCCGAAGTTCAAATGACTTGAATCAACTTCTGAGAAGGGAGTGTGCCATTTAATATAATGACTGTCTTATGTCTAGATAAACTGTAGTAATTTCTTATGCCTGAGCAGTCACATTCTTCCAGTCTTGTTACAGTTTAACTCAAAATAGTTCCTTGTGAGAGGAAAATGGAATACTTCCAGTCTAGCTTTTAAGAACACACCAAAACTTTCC